GCAGCTTGGCAGCCTCAGCCCAGTGTCGCTGCGGCCACCGCCACACGCCAGGGGGCTCCAGGCCCCGAACCCGCACTTCCTGTGGTGGTGCCCTCACTTTCCTTGGACCCCTAGGCCTGGCGCCACCCTTGGTTGGGCGTTTACCCCGAAAAGCAGGCACACCGAAGCACACGCAACCAACACACAAACACACACTTTTGGGGTGCGGCTTAAATACACACCGAGTTTCGCGGGAAAGCAGTTGTTGGGAAAGTCGCGGGAGGCGCATTGCTGTTCTCCATAAGCGCTTCCTCACGGATCGGTCACTGTTCTTGGAATCTCTTGTCGCCCGGGGCAGGGCTGCTCGTGGTGTCCCCCGTTTTCACACACGCCAAGGGGTCCGCATGTGTGGCGCCTCCCTACGTGGAGGCTTTGGGGAAGCAGTGGAAGTCACTGAATCTCCCAGCCGTCTCCGGCCCAATGGTTTCATACAGATGTGCGCCTCGCAGGCATTCTTATACATAAGTACTTACCTCTTAGCTCCCCATGTATTACACAAGGACGTTTTGTAATTTTTTAAATGTATTTTTATTGATTTCAGAGAGGAAGGGGGAGGGAGAGAGAGAGAGAAACATCAATGATGAGAATCATGGGTCAGCTGCCTCCTGCACGCCCCCTACTGGGGATCGAGCCCGCAGCCCGGGTATGTGCCCTTGAGCGGAATGGAATCTGGGACCTTTTAGTGGTAGGCGGACGCTCTATCCACTGAGCGGAATCAGCCAGGGCTTGTAATTCTTTTAAAGGAATGTGGCAGGTAAATTATATTGTCTATGAATTACAGCTCAGGATTAAAGTATTTCTTTTATTTCTTGCTTTGCATCCGAGAGGGTGGAGAACTGTTGTCCAGTGATGGCAGCTAATTTAATTGATTGCTGTACGTCAGTGGTTCTCAACCTTCCTAATGCCGCGACACTTTAATACAGTTCCTCATGTTGTGGTGACCCCTAAACATAAAATTATTTTCGTTAACTACTTCATAACTGTAATGTTGCTACTGTTCTGAATCCTAATGTAAATATCTGATATGCAGGATGTATTTAGGCGACCCCTGTGAAAGGGTCGTTCGACCCCCAAAGGGGTCGCGACCCATAGGTTGAGAACCGCTGCTATAAGTGCACACCACCTTCTTCTCCTCAATAGAGGATTTGGATGATGTGGAGTCTTAGAGAATTATTGGGACATTGTTTTGCATTACCTCTGTTACTTTGAAATCTGCCAGCCTTTTGGGGCAGCTTTTTTAAAGAACCTCTTGATGCTTATATGTAGACAGAATGAGAAAATGATATGTGTAGTGAAGTCTCACAAATGAGAAGAATCCCAGGCAATTTGGTGCAACTCCTGAATTACAGACTACTATAAAATAAATGTGCGTTTTCAATCAATAGCAATGATGATAATTATATACATAGTAGTTACAGTTTATTGAAATAGGATTAAAAACTCCTCGACTAAGAGTTCCTTAAAGATGACCTTCATTTGGGAATAGATAAGAATAATTTTGTTCTGGCATATCAATTGTCTTGGAGCAAATGTGCAATTGTGGAGTACCTCAAGGGGGCTTGAAAGCAGTTTAGTTTCTTAACTCTTTTAAACATCTTTCCCCGACTCTCTTTCTTCCCGTCTACATGCTCCAACTTAGGCGAAGCATAAGACGGCATAGCTAAATCATATTTTGCTATCCAATAATCTAAATATCCAACTTTAAGAAAGCCCGAATTATTGAGGTCAGCATGAGCTCTGACCCTCATTCAAAGCACTGCCTTGTCCTTCCAATTGAATAGATGAACTTAGTTGCCGACCTGACTCTTGCAGGCTTCTCACCAACCGTGATCGCTTTCACCTTCTGTCCCCGGGAATCTGCTGAGTGTTGGGTCTGAAAAGGGTCAGGCAGTCTGTAACGATATTCCATTTAGGTGGAGAAGCCCATTAGAAAGGTGAAGCTCTGCTTTCCTGTTGGTCTGAACTAGACACTGTTGGATTAGAAGTGGCACAGTGGCCCTGTGTTTGAGTCAGGTTATCCTGCTAAAACTGAAAGAAGTCCAAGGCTTCTGCTGGCTGCTCCTGGCCGGCAGACCAGACTTTCTGGCTTCTTAGCCTGGCACAGGGGGAAGGCCGGGCCTAGGGTAAGCCACGTGGGGGCCCAGAGCACCAGCAGGAAGGAGACACCCACTCCCCTGGTTGTGTGAGTCCCATGAGGTCAGTGCCTTACATGCTTCACTTGCCTCACCTTGTCCCAGCCCTGCAACTAGGCCCCTCGCCGCCTGGGCCTGCCTCCTTCCCACCTCATCTCTCTCTCCTCTCTTTCATGTTGCTATGCTGTGAACACAGTCACCATGCCACAGACACGCCCCCTCTGTCGGGGCTCTGTGCCCTTGCAAAAGGCTGTTTCCTCTGCTGAGAGGCCCCTGTCTGCTTAGCCACCTGCCGATCCCCACCGATCACCGCAAATATCCCTTCCTGACTTCTTGGATGCATGCCTCCTTCTCTCTGCTCTCCTGCAAAGCACACCTACCGCATGCCCTATTAGAGCCAGGCTTCACATTGGAAAGGCACTGAGTGTTTGCATGGTTTCTCCACACACAGCCCTGGATTCTCTGAGGGCAATGGATGTATCATTTCCATGGCTGTTTGGTCGCCAACTGGGTTACTATGGGGTCCAAGGTTGGCACTCTAGATTGAAGGAGTAATTGACTCCCCACTCTCGTTACCTCAATTCAAGACTCATAAACACCTTGTGAAGGAAATATCTCATCCTCTCTTTACAGTGAGAGCAGCACCCAGCGCCAGGTCTTCGGACTCTGGGGCTGCACTGACTGTGCCAGGGTTTCTGGACCAGGTCACTATTGACATTTGCTGTGGGGGCGGTTCTGTGCGCGGTGTCGTGTCTAGCAGCATCCTGGCCTTGCCCACTGAATGCCAGTTGTGATCACCAAAGTGGTCCTGATATTGCCAAGTGGCCCCTGGGGGGCAACGCGTCCTCTGGATGAGAACAGCTCAACCCCCTGCTCTGTAAACCATGGGTGTGTTTCCTAGCTGCCACCCCAGTGTGCGTGTCACTCAGTAGACAGGCGTATCTGCCCACTGCGTCATGGGATGTGCTGGCTCTTCAGTGGTTGCATGGCCTGTGTCTGAGGTTGGCTTTCCCCATAGGCGGACCCTGACGAGGTCATGTGAGTGCAGGTCATTTGGGGGTCAGCTGCTGCAGTGCTGCTGAGCGCAATGGGAGCTGAGTCAGGGACGGGAACGAAGACAATAAAAGGCCACCGCAGGCAACTGCTGTGGACCACTGGTCCCTGCTGTGGCCTCTGGGAGACAGGACAGAACAAGCCTCAGGTTGTTTTAGCTCAAAGGCAATGAAGCTCAGGCGTTTATTCACTCACTCCTCTCTCACTGGCTGAGGACAGTCCTGGGGTAATTATTCCCTGTCATTCTGTGTGGCCATGTACGAGAGCCACCCGTGCTGCTGTGGCCCCAAATTGCCCTCATACAGAGAGTCACAATTATTGGCAGTAAGACTGTCCGTGTGTACAGAATGGCAAGTGCACGGGGGAGATGGGCAGGGCGCTGGCAGCATCTGCTGCACCTATGACTGAAGGTAAGTGGGAGAAGTCAGCCTTCCTCCTCCTCCTCTTCCTCCTCCTCCTTCTCCTCCTCCTTCTTCTCCTCCTCATCCTCCTTCTCATCCCCCAAAGGATTTTTACCATCAATTTTTAGAGAGAGTGGAAGAGAGAGGGAAAGACAGAGAGAAATATCAATGTGAGAGAAACACATTGATTGGTTGTTTCCTGCATGTGCCCTGATCAGGGCCCAGCCTGGGGAGGCGCCTGCAACTGAGATACGTGCCCTTGACCAGAATCAAACCTGGGTTCCTTTGATCCACA